TCTGGAATGGTAAATTGCCTGTTTGAAAGCTTTTTTTTTTTTTAAGGACGGGGACGAAATCCTGCTGTGTGTGGTGGCAGGCAGGGCAGGCCTGGTGGCCCTGGAGAGCAGAGGCCGGAGGCCAGGTTTGGGTGTTTTAACTGCCCAGGGAGCTGCTGCCTTAGCAGGCCTGAAAGGCCCACTGTTCCCAGGGTCAGCTGGAAGGGCGTTAATGGAGGCCCAGGGTGTTTATTTGCGTTTATTTGCAGAGAGGTCTTTAAAGGGGGCTGGCATTGGGCATTGGTGTTTCAAGTCTAGGCCCAGGGCCTCCACTAAAACCAATGGCTAGTGCTGCCAAGAAAACATCTGCCACCAAATTGCTGCCCTATTACTGAGTTGACATTGACCATTAGCCAGGAGCCTAACTAAATAAAGCCTCCTGGAAAATGTGTGAGGCTAAGACGGGGAAGGCGGGCTGTGAAAACAGGACGAAACCTTGGGCTGGGGTGTCTGTTCCTGCAAGCCACAGGTGGCCAGCTGGGCTGTGTGGTCCCCACACTTCTGAAGGAAGGGGACAAGGGCACGCTCCGCACACGGAATGTATTGAGCCCCTTTTGTAAACCTGGTGCAATGCTAGGGAGGCTCTGGACTCCAGCGGGGATGCAGACAGACATGCTCCTTACTCTTATGGAACGTGCATTCCCAAGGAGAAGGACGTTAAACAAGCAGATAAATAAACAAATTGCGATTGGTGCTCTGAAGAAACTGAAGGACAGGGTAGAGAACTTTCTTTAGCTAGGATAATAGGCATAGACCTCTGGTGACATTTAAGCCCCAACCTGAGGGAGAAAAAGTGATGCATAAACCACAAGGAAGAGCTTTACAGGCAGAGGGAAAAGCCTAAGCACAAGCCTTGAAACCTGCAATGCTTGGCTTTCTGAGGAAATGAAAGGAAGCCAGCGTGGCTGGAAGATAGTGAGGAAGGGGACAGTGGTTAATAGGAACTTGTCCAGGCAGGAGATAGGCAGGGGCCAGATCATATAGGGTCTTGTGGTATGAGTTTGGTCCTTTGAGCAGCAGGGAAGCCCTTGAAGGATTTTAAGTAGGGGTATGGCATGATCTGATCTATGCTCTTTAGAGATCGTCCTGCGTCTTAGTTATCTAGTGCCGCCAGAACAGAAATACCACAAGTGGGTAGCTTTAACAAACAAATTTATTTTCTCACAGTTTAGGAGGCTAGGAAGTCCAAGTTCAGGGTGCCGGCTTTAGGGGAAGGCTTTCTCTCTCTTTCAGCTCTGGAGGAAGGTCCTTGTCTCTTTGAGCTTCTGCTCCTGGGCGATCTTCATGTGGGTTGGCATCTCTCTTTCCCCATGCCTGCCTGCTTGCTTGTCCTAATTTCTTTTATATTTCGAAAGAAATTGACTGAGAAACACCCTACACTAATCCTATCTCATTAACATAACAAGACAACCCATTCCCAAGTGGGATTATAACCACAGGCATAGAGGTTAGGATTTACAACACATATTTTGGGGGGACATAATTCAGTCCATAACACCCTGGCTGCTGTGTGGAGCCTGGATTATGGGAGAGCAATAATGGAAGCTGGGGATGAAAGAGGAATCCAAGTGAGCGCTGAGAGGGGCTTGTTTCTGTGTAGCAGCAGGGAGGGAAAACTTTGGTAGATTCAAGGTACTTGCTAGAGGGAGAGCCTACTGGACTTGCCAAGGAGTGGCTGCAGGGGTGGAGGATGCACAGAGAGGCTGTGGGCTGCTGCTCCTTCCAGGAGACTCTGGGACACCCCCCTTCCCAAAGGACAACTTTCTACCTGTGTCTCTATGCTGGGGGTGGCATGCAAGGCTGGGGCTGGTGTGAATACAAGAAAATGGAGACTCTTTTTTTCCTAGAGTCTCCTGTAGGTAGGATTTGGGGAGTATTTTTTTTGTCTCCAAAAGCCAAAGTTTGCCCTGAGAGAGATGGGAGGGTCTTGAGCTGGCTGGACCAGTGGAGAGGGAAAACCAGAGGCCAAGATCAAATCTCAACACCCCCAAACTCCACCTGCATTTGGGGCCCTGGGGTTCCTGCCCCACCTTGCTAGGTTGGAGGGGGGGATTTGTGGGGCAAAGAGCTAGCCTGTGGGGGCCCAGGCCTCATTTGGGCCTCCATTCACCATTGTGACAGTGGGGGCTTGCCTGAGGCAGGCAGGCCTTTGGAACAGACTGGGTTCAAAGGAAAAGAGCTTCACTCACAAAACAGTGGCTTCCCTTCGAAGCCTAGTGATTATTTTAATTAAACCACCACAAAATCTGCTCTCTTAATAACAGCCTCCATTGGGAGGGCCCTGGCCCAGGAGAGTGATCCCTGGGCGCTTGGGGCCTTTCATCAAAGGCAGGTTGAAAGGGGAAGTGGCTGGGATGGGGTGCAGGTCTGCATGCTGACAGGCCACTTGCTGACAGGTCACCTGCTGGTCCCTGGCAGCAGGAGACAGTGTTGTGAGAGGGGAATGCCTTGGGCAGCAAGGAATGCTGTTCTACGGGACCTTCCTTAATGCAGAGAGTTACTTTCCTCTCTGAGGCATTGAGAACTTCCTAAGTGGGTACTGGTCAGGGGACTCTCCCCTGGCCAGAAGCTGCCATGATATTCATAACTACTAGAACCTAAATAGAGCTCCTACCACGTGCTGACGGATTTGCGCTGCTCTCGTTTATTCTCACCAGCTGATTCTGGCCCACAGATGTGTTTAGTTTGGCCCTCTCAACTTGTTTTAAAAATCCTGAATCACTTGCCAATATTTTAAATGCAGGAGATTTTGTGTAAAGATCCAGATCCAGTTTGTGTCCTTTGGGAGGTTTGTGTCCTTTGGGAGGCTGGTGACGGGTAGAGCTCGGATTTGAACCCAGCACCCCTGAATCCAGAGCTTCTGCTTTTAATGCTATGAAAGACCTTGACTTGGAAGTCAGAGGTCCCAGTACCATCTTTGCTGGAAATGAAGAGAAATGAAATTCATGTACAGATTTCAGGAGAAAATAGGTGGTTGCATTTATAGAACCCCTCTCCTTTGCTGCCACCCCATCAGTGGTTGGACTGGGAAAGATGTGAGATAGAGGCAAGGTTCTGGTCAAAGTCTGCCTTTGTCATGCACTTGACACTCAGACCCTGGAGGACAGTGAGGGTGGCAGCTGTGGGTAGTGGGGCACGATTGCCCCATTCAGTCCATGACCTGGGCTGCTGGCCTGCTTGCACTCTGCTGCACAGAGGCGGGGAAGTCTGAAGGTCAAGAGCATGGTCTCCTGAGTCAGGTAGACCTTTTACAAGCACCGTGATCTTGGGCACGTCGCTTAACGTCTGAACTTCAGTTTCTTCATTTGCAAAAGGGAGGCATCCGTTATGCCCATCTACAACAAAGGGCTGTCTGAGGGCTTAGTGAAGTCCCTGGGTACAAGCCCCCCTTCCCCCCCATGAGTGCTTAGCAATTAGCCGTCATTGTTCCTGCCTCCCAGGCATCCATGCTGTTTGCATCACCACGTGTCCCATGGTACCTCACTCTCTGGAGAGAACTTGGCCTGCGCGCTTGGAGCTGGGCAGCAAGCAGCCCCATGAGCCTGTCTGTAGGGGCACTGGGGTGGAGAGAGAGAAACTCCTAGCTGAGGTCAAGTCCCAGGTAGGAGGGTCCTCCTTCTCAACTAGGTCTGGGTGGTCATGTCCTGGCTTAGGGAGCTAGTGCTCCCTGGTCTCTGTAGGGCTGCAGTAAGACAAGGGGCAGCCCAGGGCTTAGCATGAAGAGACTGGGCCAGGGGCAGCAAGCAGATGGCACCCAGAACAGGGCTGGGGGACCCACTTGGTCTACAGGTAGGCCAGAGGGGCTTTCTCCATGACACTGGCTGCCCATCCTTTGCGGTGGCCAGTGAGGCAGCGTCTCTTCGAGGACCAGCTGGAACATGGTGAAGAGCACTCTGGACCCTGAGACCCAGATCTGTTCTCACTTTAGGACTTCAGCCCTGGGTTGGTTAACAAGCCACTTGGGTGTGCTTCCCTCAAAGAGGAGACGGGAACAAGCTCTGCTGCTCGGGACTTTGCAAGATTAGCGAAGAGTGGGCGGGAAAGCACTTCCAACAAGTGAGAGCCGACTGAGAGCTTAAAGGCAGCTCAGAATGGGCTCAGGGATCAGACTAGTGGATTCAAATCCCAGTCCAGCCAGTGACTAGCAGGGCAAGGCACAGAGCCTCACCTGTCGATGGAGCTAATAGCCCACAACTCACGGGGCTGCTGGGAACGAGAAATAGTACTGCTGAGAGCTGCCCTTATTATCTTGCAGTTAGGTACTGGAGTTGAGATAGAGATTGTTTGTACTCTTCTCTGAGAAAAGGGTGTGACAGTGGGAGGGGTTGGGGACAGCCCAGCCCAAGACCTTGTTCTCTAGTGAAGCTGAGGTTTGGCCTCAGCACCCTGGGCCTGGTGTATCCCAGAGACTCAGCCTGGAGAATCCCCCATCCCACCCCACTCCCATCCCTACTGGCTGCCACTCTCAGGATGTGCCATCTGGGCTGGCTTGAGTTCAGATAGCACGGTCCTCCTGGAAGAACCTGTCTTGTTTCCTTTTCCCTCCTTGGCATCCATCAAGGCACCATTGTAACACAGGGGGTAGGGGGACAGGAGGCCTTGCAGTGGGAGTGTACTCTCTGGGTGGGCCTGAGTTTTCCTGAGTGGAAGCTGAGGCCCAACAGGTCATGGTCACTATTCAGTTTGGGGCTGCTGACCCCCTTGCCCTCCCCCTGTGTCATCTTTGGCCAGACATCTGCTCCTCTGGAGATGGGAGATGCAGCCCCTTCTCCCAACCCCAGGGCCCCTGGGTGGGTGGTGGGGCATGAGGCTGGCAGAGGAGAAGGCTGGGGGTGGGGCCTTGTTTCCATTCTTCTGCTGTAGTGGAATGAGTGTGGGGAGGTAGTTTATGGGCCGATTTTCTGAGAGACTGAGGATTTCCTAAGCCTCTGTGAGAGTAATGGGCCTGCCTTTTGTTGCAGATGGAAGAGAAGAGGCGAAAATACTCCATCAGCAGCGACAACTCTGACACCACTGACAGTAAGGCCTTCCATTTGGGGCCCCTGCAGGGAAAGCATTTGAATACTTATCAGGCCCAGGTGAGGGGAGACTGCCCCATGCTCCTGGCTCTGCGGAGCAGCCAGAGACATGCTGATGACAGCAGAAGTCCAGTCAGGTCCCTCTCCTCCTGAGAAGGCCCTGCACTTCACCTTGGCCTCCAGGCCTTGCCATCCTCTTCACTTTACTCCCCTCACCCTCTAGGTCTCAGCTCTGGTTTGAACAGATCCACTCCCCTCTGGGCATTTACATATGCTCCTCCCCTCCGCTGGGAACACATCCCCCCCATCACTGACACTCCGGGTTGGAACCAGGACCCTGTGAGAAGGTCTCAACACACCAAATACAAAAACCTGTTACTCTATTGTAATGACTTGATAGGTGTCCATTTCGTAACCAGACAGTGGTAAGCTCCTTGATATGATGGGCCATGTTTTACTGCTGTTTCCTCAGCTCACTGCTGAGGTCTCGCACGTAGTAGGTGCTCAGTAAATGTTTGCGGAAGATATTAATGAAGAAACCTGACCTGCATGGTATGTTGGGATAGAATCTCAGAGGTAGACTTGTGTATGGGTGGGTGTGTCAATGGAACATCTGGTGGGGGAGGGCTGTCAAGGAGAATATGAGCCTTAGGCAGTCTCTTCTGAAATTTGGAAGAGAGAAGGGAGGTTTGTTTGCCCAAGGCAAGAATTTTTCTGAAGTACTAGGTCACATGGCAGTTCTTCTCAAATACCCCAGGAAGCCAGGCCTGCCTGTGCTGGTGGGAGTAAGGAGGAGGAGGAGGAGCAGGCCTGCCTGGGTAGGAGAGCTACCCTGCCGAGGACATCCCACCTAGCAGTGCTGGCCCTCCCGGAACAGGCTAAGGAAGGAGCTGCAGTGCCAGAGGTCAGGCCTGGAGCCCTGCACCTCTAAACTTCAGTTTGTTCACACATGCAGTAAGCAAGTAGGATTAGGAAGATCTCTTAGGCCCCTTGTAGGTTCCAAAGTCCTGCAGCTCCCTGGGAGCCTGTGGACAGATGACCTAGAATGGCCAGTCAGGTCCTAGTCCCTTCGCTATCGCAGAGTCTCTTTGTCTGCCCTCTGAGGTCTGTTTGTTCAGTTTGGCTCCCGTGTCCAGCTGGTCAGCCCTTCCTCCCTGTGGTAGAGGATCGCAGCAGCTGTCCCTCTGTGGCCACAGCGCACTGCCTGTGGCCTGGCTTAGTAGAGCCAAAAAGAACCGTGTTGTCTGCTTCTAACTTTATTGTAGGCAGAAGAACACTTTGAGGGCGGAGCACCACAAGGGTGGGTGTCTGGACAGCTGAGCCCTGTAGCTTCAAAGTTGGGCCAGGCTGAGGCAAACTCTCCCCCCACCAGCCCCCACCACCATACCCACCCATGGATGCTGCTCTTGTTTAGCCAAAGCCTTGGGGTCTCTCTATAGTCATTCTTGCTGTTGTGTTAACCCATCAGGACAGAGGCCACAGACTTATGGCCCAACAAGAGGCTTAGACCCTAATAATAGCAACTAATGTTTATTGAGGAATGACTGTGTACCAGGGATTGTGCGAAGACTTTACAGGCGTGATGCCATTTAATCCTTTCAACAACCTTTTGAAGACAGTTATTCTCTTGCCTCCATTTTATAAATGAGGAAATAGGCTCAAAGAGTTTAAGTCATTTGCCCAGGGTGACAGCCAGTAAGTGGCTGAGCTAGGGCTCCAGCCTGGTCTCTGGGTCTTCTTCAGAGCAGCACTCTTCCCACTACCCTGCCCTGCATCTGTGTACCCACTGAGTATCATCCCATAGTATTGTGAAAGTACCTATCCTGGGTGGGGAGGTGGAAAGTAGAGAGGGAAGGTTTACTGACCAACAAGTAGAGGTCCAAAGAAGACAAAAGACTTGTCCAGGGTCACACAGTAAGCCAATTCTGATCCCTGGTAACAGCCTTTGATTTCCCAAACTCCTTCTGGTTGGTGAGTGGAGGAGGCTTCCTGTCGCCATTCATCAGTGGCTCAGATTAGGGACAGTTCACCAGCTGCTTTCAGAGGTCTCCACCTCCCAAGCATCCAAGCCAGAGCTTTCCATTCAGGCCTCCTCTCCTTGGACATGAGTGGGTGGTGTTCTTGGCCCTCAGGGGCCCCTAATAGGCTGTGCTTTCTCTGCAGGCCACACTACATCTGCATCAAGATGCTCCAAACTGCCCAGCAGCACCAAGTCGGGCTGGACCCGCCAGAACGAAAAGAAGCCCTCAGAGGTGGGTAGTGATGAATGTCCTGGAGGACAGGATCAGAGACCTGTGGGGAGTGAGGTGAAGAGCATTCCTGGCAGAGGGCACAGTCAGTGCAAAGGAATGCCAGTGTGGCATGGATGGGAGAAGGCTGATGGTGGAGGTGCCAGTGCACGTAAGCCTTGTAGGTTGTTGTAAAGATGTTCCTATCGATCTGAGCAAGAGGGGAAGCCACTGAAGGATCATGAGCAGGGTAATTGACATAGTCTGAAGTTTAGTAAAAAGTCCCATGGCTGCAGTGAGGAGGAAGGACTGTAGGAGGGAGGGCAAAAAGTAATCAAGGAGACCAGTGAAGAGGCTGTTGCATTCCTCCAGGTGAGAGACAATAGTGGCTTAGACCTGGGTGGTGGTGGTAGAGTAAGAAGCAGTAGGGTTCAGTACATTTTGGCGGTTGAGCCAAGGATGATGGGATTTGCTGATGTGGGGGTGAAGGGTGAGGTCCTCAGAGTCACCCAGTTTGTCTCCTACTCATTATGCTCATTTCACACACAGCTGCATTTTGAGCCTTCCTTACTTTGATCTGGAATGTTTCGTACCACCAAACCAAACCCATTGTCATCAAGTCAATTCTGACTCATAGCGACCCTATAGGACAGAATAGAACTGCCCCCATAGGGTTTCCAAGGAACGGCTGGTGGATTTGAACTGCCGACCCTTTGGTTAGCAGCCAAACACTTAACCACTGTGCCACCACTTTTCTTACCACAGGTAGAGATATTTCTGGCCTTTGCAGCTCTGTGGAGAAGAGCATTGGGGGTGGGTCGAGGAATGGACGTAAGGACATTCCATAGTCCCAGCTTGTTAGGACTCATCACATCTTAGTCTTCAGTGCCAATGACCCTAGGTAACCATTGCTCCAAGGGAAGCAGCCCCAGAAAAATCCCAGGATGGTCTAGGCCAGTCCTCTCCATCTCCACCCTCACAGCTTTACTCTAGTTCCCCTGGGGGCCTTCCCAACCAGGCTGAGGAGTTAGAATAGACCAGGTGCATGCTCAGCTCAGGACTCAGGATCACAGGTACTGGGGAAAGGCCCTCACCCATCCCCATGTGTCTCCCTCCTGGCAGCGCAGAGGGCTTGGCTTGCAACGCACATCCCTGAACGCTTCTCTTGAGAGCTGAGCATGGAAGAGGGCCTTGACTGCAAGAGCATTGAGTGCCTGAGATGTGGGGGTTTTTGAACCTGACTCTTAACTGGGACATTGTTTGGTAGCCTACAGAGTAGCCAGGTGATGGGCTGGACACTTTATATATATATACTGCTGTCTAATTCTTAAAACTAGCCCGGGGTTCTCAGTCCTTCTGTTACTGAGGAGTCCCAAAGTCATAGAGCTAGCACCTGAAGTCCTTGGGGGTCAACAGTGCAAAGGACTGGGAGACCAGAAGTTCTTGGGGCAAAGCCCCATGAGGTTGGGGAGGGTGCCTTTGTTCTAAGCCAGGCCCCTTTACTCCCCACAGGCCCTTACCACAGGGGCAATCCTGACACCACTGTCATTAGCCAGCCCCTGTGGGGGTCTTCTGCTGAGCCTTGCATTTGAAAAAGTACTCCACCTCCAGAAGCTGCCCTACCCTTGGGGTAGGGGTGGGAACCTTTGTGATCTAATGGCTCTTCTTCCCCTCCCCCCGCCATTCTCCCCCCTCTGCCCCACCCGGGAGAGCTTAATTACCTTGGGATCCCAACCTGGTGCCTTCCCAGGGATCCATGGGGTGGGGTGGTGGAGATGGATGGAGACGTCTCCTGGAATGCCGTCGGGGCAGGAATGCAGTGCTGGGGTGGGTGGGGGATGGGAGGGCGCTCTTTTGAGGCTCTCGCTGCTCTCCAGGCATAGACCTTCTAGGGGGAGGGGGGATGGGATGTGCTTATGTGAAACCAGGAAGATGGAGGCTGGGTGTGCTTGGGCCGGGGAGGCCCTGCCTCCCTGTGGTTGTTTGGCACCTTATGCTTCCCCCACCCCCTGCTCTTGAGACCACAGCTATTCCCCAATTGCTGTGATGAATTAGCAAAACAATAGTTACCCTTTTTGTGCCTTCCTGGCCCTGGGAGGCAGGAATTATCACACCCATTTTGAAGATGAGAAGCCTGCCTTTCCTAGAATCTGGCCTGCCCTCTGCTTTCTGTAGCTGCTTTGGTTGGAGTGGGGTGGGGAAGTTCTGGGGAGCCCCTAGGGCTGGTTCCTTTTCTGACTCCTGGGTGAGCTCAGGTCAGCCCCTTCCCCCTACTCTGCTCCCTCCCAGCACCAGTGGGAGGAGGGGCCGCCTCTTGGGGCTAGAAGATCCCAGGGGCTGGGCTGCCATCGACACCCAGGGGCAGGGGTGGGAGGAAACAGGTGTCAGCAGAGGCTGAGGGGAAAGAGCAATTTGCATGGCGCAGAAAATTCCCCGGCCTCTTGGGTTTTCCAGCCCAGAGCCTTTGTACCTTTCCTCACCTAAAATTAGAGTCGAACCACTGTAAAGGGTATCAATGCCTGGCCCCACCGGGACTGTTTGCCAAGCAGCGCTGTGCATGCTCTCCCTGGTGCCAGCCCAGGAGCCTCTGCAGGTGGCTTTGGGGTCTGAGTGGGAGACACTCCCTTCCCCACCAAGTCCTGCAGGAGTGAGGAGGTCCTCCCTGCCTTGAACTGTCGCCAGGGACAAGGTTTTCCTCCCACAGGAGGCTGGAGAGCAGCCTGTGAGGGAAACCTCGTCCTCTAAGCGAAGAGGTTGAGCCGTGGCCGGCATAAATTCTGAGTTACCGTGGGACGGAGAGGAAACCATCAATGAAAGCTTCCAAATTATTTGGCTCATGAGAGGGCGGAGATGAAAGCGGGGATTTGGCGGCAGATAATGTTTGCACTAAATCTCCTAGCTGGGCTGCGCCTTTCTCTTTCTGTGAATGGATTAGAGGCGGGGAGGGCCTTTATATTCTGCTGGGCTTGGGGGCGAAGGTCTCTGGACACCCTGCTGGAAGAGGGCCTGGGGGCCCCTTCTGCTCATTCCCCTGAGTAAGAAGCCTGTGGGGTGGTTGACAGGCCGGTCACCCGTTCTGCTCTCAGTCTGGCAGAATCCCTGGCGGGAATGCTTGCAAAGCAATGTGTGTGGGGCAGGAGGCCCTGACTGGTGGAACCCATGGTTTTCTTTGAGTTCTCATCTGTAAATGTGGGCAACAATGGCGGTGGGGGTGGGAAGGCAGGGGTGCTTGGCAGAGTACCTGCCCTGGGCATAGTGAAGCCAACAGCTATGGAAAGGGCTGGATTTGGGTTTGGGAGACAGGTGGTTCTGCCCTGTGGTGACCTGTCAGGGCCACACTTGCCGTGTACCTGAGGGTGCAAACCTAGGGATGGATGCCCTCTATACCAGAGGGAGAGGCCCTAGGCTGCAAGAAAGTGCTCAGACCAGGAGTCAGGACCCTGGACAGGGCTGAGGCCTTGAGGCCCAGTTTCCTATCTGGCCCTTACCTAGTGGGTAGCCCCCCTCAGCCACAGTGGGGGAGGGGCAAACCTAAGTATTGTGAGTTGAAGGGACAAATTCTAGGGTTCCCGGGAGGCTGGGTTAGTATTTTTGGTGGAAGTTCATAAAGTCTGAAGACTGCTCTGGGATCTCCTTAGCCAGTGGAAGGAAAAGGTGGGGCTGACCCCTAGGACACAGGCTCCTGCCTTCCTCTGATCTCCCCACCTGTTGGATCCCAAACAAGCTGAGGTCTGTTCCTTGGAGTGTGAGTTTGCCAGGGCAGCCCTGAAGGAGGGGGAAGGGATTGGCCTGGTTTGGGAAGGTGGTTATTATTGTATGCACTTCGCTGGGACTTTGGGTTTCTGACCTGATTCACCAAATGGCATAGCCATTATTGGTGCTCAGCCCTTTGTGGGAGGTGGCTCTCTGAGAATCTGATGGAAGCCACAGTCCAGAGGTTCTCCATCAGAGAATACCACTATCAACAACCTACCCCACCCTCAAGAGCTTGTGAGTTAACTGGTCTTATAGTGAGGTCCCAGGTACCTGTAAAACAAAACAAAGTAGAAAACAGTTGCCTTGGAGTTGACTCTGACTCATGGACCCCACGTGTGAGTCCCTGGTGGTGCAAATGGTTAACAATGCTCAGCTCCTAGCCAAAAGGTTACGAGTTTGAGTCCACATAGAGGCATTTTGGAAGAAAGGCCTGGTGATCTACTTCCAGACAATTAGCCATTAAAAACCCTGTGGAGCACAGGTCTGCTCTGACACATGGGGTTGCCAGGCCAGGTACCTGTACTTTTCAGAAATCCCTCCTGCTGGGAGCCATAAACTTTTTCTCCTCAGTTTGCCTAAGACAAGGATTCCCTAGATTGGTTGCTCACAGGGGGTGAAAGCTGTGTCTAGGTTGAAGGAGAAGGAGAGAGGCTTGCCAGCTGGGGCCAATGACCTAAGCAAAGGCAGGGAGTGGGGGTGGGGTGCGGTCCCCCAGCTCCTCCCCACCCCACAGGGGCTAGGGAACAAACTAATTTCTGCCACACCCTACCCTGGAAGGGATATGAAGGGCAGTTTGGAAAGAGACCTGGAGGCCAGCCCTGCAGTTTGTAGGCCACTGTTTGAGGCTGTGTCTTCCTCAGGCCTGGGGCAGAGAGGCAGGTGGAAGAGCAAGGCAAGCATGGGGGTTTCCCCTGGGCAGGCTCTCTGAAGTATAAAACTGTGTTTTCAGGAAGTCAGAGTCCCCAGAAGTCAGGCAGCAGGCAGAGACATCGGTCTTGAGGCCCAGGAGCTACTAGTATTGATATAATTCAGCAAGCACTTGAGAACACCTAGTCGGCCCAGTCAAAGTGCTAGGGGGAACGGAAAGAGCAGGCCCTATCCGCAGGTAGCTTGTCCTCTGACTGACAGCAGGATACAGGTGCTACACAGGAAAGTCTTTGTTCTGGGAGGTGCAGCCAGGGTAGGCTGCAGGAAAAGCCCAGGCTTTGCCACTGAAGTGCTCTGTGACTGCCCCATCTGAGTCTCAAAGAGTTCTCATCTATTGAGCC